CTGCAGACAACAGGGAACTCACAGTGTTAGCTTTTGACACTGTTGATCACAGCACCTTAATTAACAGACTTGGCGACTCTGTGGGGATCTCATGAACTGTTTTAGACTGGTTTAGATCATACCTTTCTAACAGAAGTTACAGTGCCTGTATAAACCAAATCATGTCAGATTCTACTAATCTGTTCTGTGGGGTACCCCAAGGCTCTGTTTTGGGTCCACAGTTGTTTCTGCTGTGCATACACCCTCTTGGCCAGATAATTGATACTTTTCATAATGTCTCTTATCACCTGTATGCAGATGACATTCAGCTGTTTTGCTCCTTCCAGGATGCTGAGTTCTATAAACTGTCTGAATTACAAGAGTGTCAATCAGCTATCACCAGCTGCCAAGAAGATAACTTCTCTCAGTCAGAACCTGAAGAAACTGAATGTCTGATCATTGCCCCTGAGATCATGGTTCCCCTAATTACTCAAAAACGTGGTCATTTTTCTTCTGCCGTGAAGTCAAACTTGAGGAATTTGGGTGTTTTTGACCAATCAATGTGTTTATGTGTGTCTATGTGTTTATGTTTTTAGCAGACCCTTTTGTCCAAAGCGACTTACAAGTGATAATCGGCATATTGCCCTTGAGGCTAAAAACAACAATAACAATAACAACATTGACATCAGTCATGGAGAGTAGGGAACAAGGAGTGGAAAGTAGAAAGGGGGGACGGGTGCAGGCAAGGTGCTAGTTAAGAAGATGCTCTGTGAAGAGCAGGGTCTTCCGGAGTTCCTTGAAAATTGAAAAGGAAGCTGCAGTTCTGGTAGTGCTTGGAAGGTCATTCCACATTTGTGGAACGATGCATAAGAAGAGTCTGGATTGTCCTGAGCATGGTGTAGGCACTGCTAGCCGACGATCCTGTGATGACCGGAGCGGCCGGGCCGAGACGTAAGCCTTTGCAAGAGGATTCAGGTAGATGGGAGCCGTACCATCTCAGACTTTGTATGCTAGTGTTAGCAATTTGAATTAGATGTGTGCTGCTAGCGGTAGCCAGTGGAGCTCAATGAACAGAGGGGTGACGTGTGCTCTTTTTGGCTGATTGAAGACCGAATGCACCGCTGCGTTCTGGACCATTTGAAGAGGTCTCACAGTGCAGCCTGGAAGACCAGTTAGAAGGGCATTGTAGTAATCGAGGCGGGAGATGACAGTAGATTGCACAAGGAGCTGGGTGGCATTTTGTGTTAGGTATGGTCTGATCTTTCGTATGTTATAAAACGCAAAGCGGCATGAACGAGCAACAGAGGCAACATGATCTTTAAAGCTCAGGTGTTCATCAATCCCTGCCTCAGAGCCTCGGGCGCATGCGCACTCTGCGACCAGCTGTGTGAGAGATTGGCGTCCTGGTTGAGTGGGTTTTTGTGTGTTTTTGGTGCGTTTTAATACAATCTTTGTGAGGAAAACTGTGATGCTGTGGGTAAGAAAGGCCAGCAGCGTTTGTACTGCCTTAGAAAACTGTCCTCATTCCATGTGGACAGGACTATAATGTCCATGTTTTATTGTTCTTTTATTGAAAGTGTTTTATCCTTTTCCTTAGCCTTATGGTTTGGCCAGGCAAATCTTAAACAAAAGGAGACGCTGAACAGAATTGTAAAGTGGTCGGGTCGTCTGCTTGGAAAACAAGTGAAAAGTGTGGCACAACTGTACAGTGGGCAGGTAGACAGAATTGCCAAAGCTATTGTTAGGGTCACGGGCCACCCACTGCATGCCCAGTTTGCTCTCCTGCCATCAGGACGGAGATTTATTGTGCCTAAGTGCAGGACCAAGAGGTATAAAAGGAGCTTTATTCCTGAGGCAGTAACGATTCTCAATGAGAAATGAGTCTGGCGTGGCTATTTTACTTGATTTTATTTTTATTTATTCATGTATTGTTTTTATATTTTTTTATATTTTTATTGATGTGTGTATTTTTTCTGACTGTGTGTATAACTGGGCGCTAATTCTCGTGTCACATGGCAAATCAAATTTACCTGCGGGTATTAGTAAAGTTACCTTGACCTTGACCTTGATCACAACACCCAGATTTCGAACTGCCTTTGAAGGAGCCAGAGATAGGAAGTCATTTCGGATTGAGATATTGTGCTGTATGGATGGTTTTGCTGGGATGACAAGTAGTTCAGTTTTAGAGAGGTTGAGTTGGAGATGGTGGGATTTCATCCATTTTGATATGTCAGAGAGACAGTTTGATATTCGTGCAGAGACAGTGTGGTCGTCCGGTGGAAATGACAGATAGAGCTGGGTGTCGTCTGCATAGCAGTGGTAGGAGAAGCCATGTGATCAAATGATCTCACCCAGTGAGGTGGTGTATATGGCAAAGAGAAGAGGTCCTAGTACTGAGCCCTGGGGGACTCCTGTGGCAAGATGGTGCACGGTAGAGGATTGTCCAAGCCAAGATACACTGAATGATCGTCCTGTGAGGTACGATTCAAACCAGGCGTGTGCTTTCTCTGTGATGCCCATGCTAGAGAGTGTGGACAAAAGGAAGCCATGGTTGACAGTGTCCAATGCAGCCGATAAGTTGAGCAGGATAAGCACTGAGGATTTGCCTGTCGCTCTAGCTTCTTTTAAGGATTCAGTCACTGCTAACAGAGCAGTTTCAGTGGAGTGGCCCTTTTTGAACCCAGATTGGTAAGGGTCAAGCAGACAGTTTTGTGAGAGGTATTCTGTGATCTGCTTGAAAGCCACCCTTTCAATGATTTTGGACAGAAAAGGGAGGAGAGAGATAGGTCGGTAGTTCTCCACATGATTTGGAGGCAGAGATGTTTTTTTAGCAGCGGTTTAACCGGAGCATGCTTGAGAGAGGTGGGAAATGTACCAGATGTCAGTGAAGCGTTGATCACATGTGTGACTGCTGTGGCTACTGTAGGAGCAATAGCTTGGAGCAGCTTAGGCGGAATGGGGTCAAGTGGGAATGTAGTAGGGCGGCTGCACGTGAGAAGCTTGGACACACAGTTCTCAGTGACATGGGAAAAAGAGGAAAATGAAGCAGTAGGGCCTGAGATGGTTGGGCTAGAAGGAGTTTGTGGTAGTGAATGTTCAGGAGTGGCCAGTTGAGTAAACTGTTTGTTTATAGCTGCCACTTTGTCAGTGAAGAATGACGCAATGGTGTCAGCTGATAGATTGTTGGTAGGAGGTGGAGATGGAGGGGTGAGCAGAGTTTTGACTGTTGAAAATAGTTTCTGAGAGTCAGTAGAGCTGAGACTTTTGTCAGTGTAGAAAGCTTTCTTTGCATCAGTGATGCTGGCAGAGGATGAGGACAGTAATTCCTGAAATTTCAATAGATCACCAGGATCTTTTGTTTTGCGCCATTTCCATTCCGCAGCTCTAACATTGGTGCGTAGAGACCAGAGGGTATCATTTAGCCAAGGGTGCGACTGAGAGGATCTAGCAGGTCTAGTGGCTAAAGGGCACAAGTTATTAAGACAAGAGCAGAGTGTGGAGCAGAGTGACTCGGTGGCTTCATTCACTTCATAGGCAGAGAATGTGCTGGGAGATGGAAGAGTGGAGGCAACAAGAGAGGAGAAGTAGTTGGGTGCCAGATTGCGGAGGTTGCGGCGGAATGAGACCATTGAGGAGGAAGCAGTGGACCTCCCTTGTAGAGTCATGCTGAAATGGATGAAGTAATGTCTCTTGAAGTCCACTCAAAAACATTGGTCCAAAACAGTTTTAATCACTTAAGAAATATCTCCAAACTGCAAAGGTTGGTGTCAAAACATGAACTTAAAATGGATATCCATGCCTTTATCTCCTCCCGTCTAGATTACTGTAACACACTCTTCACATGTTTTAACAAAAGCGCCCTTGACCGCCTTCAGCTGGTCCAGAACTCTGCAGGGAGGCTCCTAACTGGAGCAAACAAAAGAGCTCACATCACTCCTATTCTGTCTCTCCAGTGGTTAGTTAGTTAGTGGTTAGAATCCTGACTATAACTTTCAGGGCCCCACATGTTCAGGCTGCTCCCTATATTACTGAACTGTTAAACCCTTGTGCTCCAACCCGAGCCCTCAGGTCCACCCACCAGAACCTTCTAGAAGTTACAAAGACCAGATACAAAAGTCGAGGTGATCGCTCCTTCCAAACTGTTGCACCTCGACTTTGGACTGATCTTCCTTTATCCTTACGTAGCATTGACAGTCTAAAGCTGAAGACCCTTTTATTTAAAGCTGCTTTTACATAAATCCTTACATAAATACTTACTTACTTCTATTCATTGAATATGAAATAATCATGATGAATCGAGATGCATTGAGATATTGAATCAAATTGTTGTCACAATAATCATTATCAAATCGTGAGATTAGTGAAGATTCACACTTCTAAACGTCTGAAAAACAGATCAGAAAGGCAGCAAAACTGTCAGATGGCAGTGACATAGAACCCCGAGGACAGAAAACACTGGAACACCAGGAGGAAGACCACAGGAAGCAGGGGGAACCCACAGAAGATGACAGGATTGGGACTGGAAATGATGAGGACACCAGCATGAGGAGAAGAATAAAACAACAGCAGTGAAGGAAACTCGTACTGAAGACGTGCATCCAACAAGGGAAACTAAGGCTTGAGTTGGCTGGGAGAACGTTCATAACTAAAACCTAAATGAAACAACCCAGACTGAAAGAAACTTAAGACTCATGTCCTGAATAATGCAGAGGGATGCTTCTGTTTCGCCATGTTCAGCTGATGCAAGCCCCCCACCCCCCCCCCCCGCGCCGTGCCCCTCCTCTTCCTGGCTGAGGAGTCAGAGTAGAGAAATATTGATTTCAGGACACAGTCACTGAAAATGAGCTCTAGAAACATTGTTGGAATGATGCTCTACATGTTGTGTTTTTTATTTGCTCACTGTTGTTACAGCAGTTGTGACCTCCTTTTCTGATATCACATAAATGAAAAAGAAGAACCAGGTGCAGATGAGCTGTAGATATTAAGTGTTTTATCTTTTTAATTTCTGTTGGTTTCTTCAGGCACTGAAGCCAGTGGTGAGCTCAGAGGTAAACCATGCACTCGGCAACAGGAGGCTCATTAACTTCTCCCTGGCAGGTAGGCTTCCAACACCTCTGTCTTCATATGCTGTCTTTATCTTACTCCTTTTGTCCTCTTTCTGATGTCCACATCATGAACTCCACATCCTTACACTGAAAGGACAACAACACTAACCTCTACTCTCCTGAGGTGCTTTAAAACTTCGATTGTTCAACTACTTGCCAGTGATGATACTTAGAGAACACTTGGTGAATGTCAAACAAACTAGATGCTGAATTTTGAAACAAACAGCTGATGCTGCTGAATAGCTGAAGTGTGTATGTTTATCTTTGTTGTTGCTTTAGCAAGTCTAGCAGTGCAGTGGACTCACAGATGACAACTCAGGAACTTTATACTCAGCTTTACTCTCATCTCACGGCACCAAACACACACACCAGGTACAGCTTCATAACCCGGAACTAATATCCCTCTGCGCCCCTAAGCAGGCACCAATTTCTCAGTATATGAGTGGCACTATATACTACATCCCTCTTTCTCCAAAACAACAAGTTATTTGTTTTAGCTATGTTACTACTTACTATGCACTAGTCAAACAGAAACTGTATAAACTTTCAGTAGAAATTCTACCCCACAGTGAACATATATTTTCAGCACACTACTCAACATCATACATTTCTCTTTTATTTATTTTTTTTCTAAAAAGACACAATAGAAACCGCACATATCACAATGTAGGCTAACACACATAGTCTTTGAGCCTTGCAGGGGGTTTGATGACACGGCCACTCCTGGTCTGAACTAACACTGGACTAGTGGGAGAGTCACAGCTAACCATCTCACCACCATCATCAGTCACAACAACATCATCTGCGGATGTTTCAGCCCCTTCATCTTCCAAACAGACATCTTCGTCACACACTGGAACCAGTAGCTGTGCCAGGGGGGCGCTAGGGGGCACTATAGTTACCCCTGGATTAGTCATTGCACCCCAAAGTAAATATTAGATTTTTTTTAACGATTTAATTTTAATTTTACGTGTGGATGTGATAATATTTAACATACAAAACAAAAATATTCTGTAAATTATCATATAGTTAGTAAAAATTTAAACAGGGAATTGATGTTAACCTTTGACCTCATTTTCCACCTGTGAACGAGTAAAAGGTAGAGCTAATGGTAAAATGGATCGGTCTTTGGTGCCCACATTTCCACGGGTTCAGTCAGAAACGAATGAATCTTTGGAAGTGATCTCAGACCCAAAAAAAACCTACGGATCTGGATGAAGAGAGTCAACCCTCAACCGCCGCAGCAGTCGAGGGTTTTGCCGCTGGAAATGCTAACACTAACGTTAGCTAACCTTGCAACACTATAGATGGTTTTCTGTGTGGCTGTATGTGTTGATGATTTCCTGGAAAATTCAGCGATTGTTCATATGTTTATGATGCACATTAATGATGGTTTCAGGTGTTGTTGAGGTTTTGTGCACGCATGTGTATCTGCTCGTGTTGAAGGTGTTTTAGAGAACAATAAGAACGCATGACCACTTCCTTCATAGCACCCTCAACAAAAATACTAGCTCCTTCATAGCACCTGCAGAAAAAAATTTCTGGAGCTGCTGCTGACTGGAACAGTGCTGGGCGGTTTCCTCAGATGTCGCCCATTACGTCTGTACTGCTGTCCAGAGGGTGTCACAATATCATATGACCTTGGTTCAGCTCGTGTTGCCGTGACCACAGCAGGACACCATCCACGAGGAGTCTCCGGGTGAACAGTCTGCCCAGGAAGCAAACTTGGAAATGTCTTTGTTCCTCTGTTGTAGTAGAAGCGCTGTCTCTGCTGCATGTTCCGAAGAGCAGGCATAACCCCAGCAGGAACTGCTGGTTGAAGCACCACATTCGTACTGGGTAAAGTGCTCCTCAGAACCCTACCCATGAGTAGCTGCGCTGGAGAATATTCCACTCCAGTGACTGGGGTGTTCCTCAGAGTTAGCAGAGCCAGAAGTGGGTCAGATTTGTCTTGTCTGGCCTTTTTTAACAGTCTGTGCCTCACGTTCCAGCACTGTTCTATCAAGTTTCCCACCTGTTTTCTGTGTTGTGGCCAGCCTCTCTTGTGAACATCCTGCAAAGCCTGTAACACAGCATCTGTCTGCGACTCCACCTTTAGTTGTGCTAAGGTCTCTGAGCTCAATGCCTCTGTGACCTCCAAGGCATAAACCACTTTTTCTTCAAAGACGTCACACTGTTCTTTTGGATCATGTACTGCAGCCCTTGAGAGTGTGTCTGCAATCAGTAGCTCCTTACCCGGTGTGTAGATAACGTTCAGGCCATAGCGTTGTAGCAGTAGCAACGTTCTTTGCAGTCTAGATGGTGCTGCTCCTAGTGGTTTTTTAAGGATTGTTTCCAATGGCTTGTGATCTGACTGGACATTGACTGACTCCATAAACGTACTGATGAAAGCGCTTGACTGAAAACACAATCGCCAGGAGCTCCTTCTCTATCTGAGCATAGTTCTTCTCTGTGTCCGTCAGCACTCTGGATGCATATGATATTGAGTGCCCATCCTGCAATAGACACTCTCCCAAGCCATCTTTGGATGTGGACGATTCTGTGGATCAAAGAACCTGAGGATTGGTGCAGTTACAAGTGCAGCCTTTAGTTTCTTTACAGCCTCCTCTTGTTCATGCTCCCACTGCCACACGTTGTCCTTTCGTAGCAGCTTTCTCAACGGAGCAGTCATTGTTGCCTTTCCTGGAATGTATTGTGACAGATATTTAACCATCCCGAGCATGCGTTGCAGTACTGGCTTGTCAGTGGGTGACGGCATGTTGACTATTGCCTTCACTTTAGACTCATCCACCTTGACCCCTTCTGAGGTTACTATATGCCCCATGTATTTAACACTGCTCACCTTGTACTGGATTTTGTCTTTGTTAAACTTCACGTTAGCGTCTTTTGCTCTAGTCATTACCTTCTGTAGTATCTCATCATGTTCTTGCTCTGTAGCAGCAGCGATGATCATATCATCTGCAATATGTACTCGTGTGATGTCACCACAAGTCTCAGAGTTGCATTGCTGGAAGACCTCGCTCGCTGACTTGATCCTAAATGGAAGACGGTTGAACCTATAGCGCCCCCATGGTGTTTTAAAGGTGCACAACAGCGACGACTCTGTCGAGTTTAATCTGCCAGTAGCCGTCTTTCTCATCCAGCACAGTGAAGATCTTCTTCCCAGCCAATCTGCTCAGCACCTCTTCTGTTGTTGGAATTAGGGTTGGGCATCGTTTGATTTTGAATGATTCCGATTCCCATTCCAATTCCCTGTTTCAATTCCGGTTCCTATCGATGCCCGATTCCGATTCTTTGAAGACATGACATGTTTTAAATGAGCCAGATAACCACAGGTCCTACTTGATGAAATAATCTTAACTTCAACATGAATTTTAATTCTATGAACAACAACATCACCTTCATTTAGACAAAAACATGTTTTGGAGAAAAAAGACTTCCAGCACAACCAGTGTGTTTGTTTCTGACCACAACCAAAGTCTGGAAGAAGCCTCTGGGATGAGAGGCTAAATGTCTCCAACATATCCAGAAACGTGCAGCTGTTTTCAGCTAAAATTCTCAGGATGATCATGTCCAGGATGACTGAGAACTACACCTCCATGCTGCAGCAGCATTCAGTCAGAACAGAAAGTGAAACTTAAACGTAGCTGCTGTCAGTAACAATCTAACAGATTTTAAACATTAAACCTCTCAACAGAAATAGTTCAGAAAGGAAATTAAAATGTTTACAATTTTTTGTGTGATTTATTATTATTATTATTATGATTATTATTATTATTTATTGTGGCAGAATCTGGTGTGGTCCACCACAGAGAAGCTTCTCTAGCATGATGACTTTAATTATCCTACAGGTTATTGTTCAGCCTTCTGATGCTCACGTGTCTGACTGCTGGCGCTCCGTGTGTGTTGTTATTTCTGCAGTGAGACACTCACCTCACACCGTCCAGAGTTTGTTCTTCAAAGCTTCTATTAAATCCACCATGTTGACGTTTTTTTTTTACATGTTTTTTACATGTTTTTATTTCTGTTGTTGCTTGAAGCCAAGCAACAACAGAGGTGTGCTAAGACCCCTAGTCTCCCTCCGCCTGCTCCATTATAGTGTTGTGTGTTGATGAGGTGTATTCCATGGCTGTGGTGAGCGGGCAGTGTGGGCATTGTCTGGCCTATGCCAGCGGATGCCACCGCACCACCCCACTTGAACCCACAGCCCTCGGTGTCTAAGTGCAGTTTAAAATTGGAAGTGGGCACCTGCACTCGGGAGGAGGCTGAGAAATCCCCCTGCCAAGTGCCGTTGAATGTGCTCACTCCTAAGGCCCTAAGTGTGTGTTTGCGTGGAATGTCGTCAGTGGAAGTGTATAAGGTGCAAATAAAACTGGGGGGCAGGTTGCCACAGGAATGCAGAAATGGGGTCCATAGCCACACTCCCTGACTTGTCCACCCCCCAAGGTCCTATGTGCATGTTTGTGTGATGATGTTGACGTATTTTAACAAGGTTCTTCTACGCTGCAGGAGTTAAAGTTTACATTACGGAGTAAAAGTTCGGCAGACGCGTCAGTTTAGATTTGGCCGCTGCGCGCCAGGTGGGGGGAGGGGGGACTCGGTGCTGCAGACTGACAACTAGTGTGATCAGCTCTGAAAAGCGTTGATCACAATTTGCAGATCACATTTGTTTTTCACGGAGATCGGCCGCGGATTCCTCTTCCGTCGGCATACTAGGAATCAAAACTAGGAATCGAAATAAAAAACGTTGAGCAATTCTGGGAAAAATGAACAGTCGGAACCGGTTCCAATCAATGCTCGATTCTCGATGCCCAACCCTAGTTGGAATGGAGTAGTGTTGCCTCAGAATGGCTTTGTTCAGGTCTGTAGGATCACGGCAAACTCTTAGTTTTTTCTGGTCCTTCTTCTCAGTCACTACAAGACTGTTGACCCAAGCTGTAGGTTCTTTCACTTGTTCAATGACACCTGCATTCAATAGATCTTCTAGTATGT